TGATGCGCCTGGTTTGCTTTAGTATAAGACAGTTCTCCTAAAGAATACGTGCTTATGAACTGAGATAAGATATCCCAAAAGTGGCCTGTGGTTCCTGGGATTATTGTGCCAAAGAGTGTGTTCTGGCTGAGGAGTCAGCAGAAGCTGGAGTGAGTAGGAGTTGACTCAGTGAATGTGGTCGAAGGGAACAGACACTGGGGACAGAGAGGACAGAGCCCTGTGGCAGCATGGCATGGTGCCAGTGCGACTGCTTCCATCATCTGTGCTCCCAGCCCTCTCCTTCCCTCTTCTATTCTTACTCAGAAAGATGGTGTTGGATCACCCTTGGGCTGTTAGTGATGTGTTAAAACAGCCCCTGGTTATTGCCATCCAGCGCCTTTTGTATAAAGTTTTGTCACATGGCAGAATAAAGGGTGAACAGACGTCAGTCTTACCTTCTAAGAGTTTAGGGTAAATAACCCCAAGAGTAGCTAGCATTTGTAAAAAGATGAGTTACAAGTGTAACGAACTCCTTGGTGGAGAATAGCCTCTGTCTCATGGGTATTACCAAAGGCCTCCTAGCTCTGGGAGATGAGGGTTTAGAGACTGAAGAGGTCATGTGGCCTTGTCTGTGTGGGACCCATGGGTTTCCCTTTTCTAACATCTAGCTCTGTGTGCTGACTCCGTTGTGCTGTGGTCCATGACTCTGTTTCCTTGTTGAATTGATTCTGTACTCCTGTCATCTTCAGGAAGCCCTTCCCTGGGACCGGAACACACTCTCTTTTTCCTGAGGAAGTCAGCCAGTGCTAGAGTGGGAGGCTTCCGGCTGTGCTGTGGCTTCAGGCTACAGCCCAGGTAACCTGGACTGGTGATAATAGAAGTCAACTTCCAGAATATTCCCCTCCCACCACCCTGCCTCAGAGCTCCTCCTCTGGGGCTTGGTACCTGGTAGTCTTTCTGTTTCCCCTTTCCCCTTATTTATATCTGACTGTTCAATAATATGTTTGCAAGAGGCTCTAGGAGGATGATAAGAGAATGATTTTTTTTTTTTTTTTTTTTTGTTCTGGAGATCTAACTCATGAGCAGGTAAATCCGCTTCCCTCTGAGGTAAATCCCTGGCCCCAGGCTTGATAATTTGGTAATAAAGTATTATTTTGTGATTCTCATTGGCAAGACCCTTGATCTGTCATCTCTACCCCTTCATTTATTTCTCTTAATAGCACCACCACCTTCCTGCTCATTCTGAAATCCCAAAATCTGAGTAGTGTTCATGTCTTCCTGTTCTTTTTCTCACATCTAATTAGGTACCAAGCTCTGAAAATGTTGCCTTTTTTCTTTATGATTCTCACCTACTTTAGGTCCCAGTTTATTCCTTTTCATTTATTGCTTCTTTGACTTGAGTTCAGTGCCTTGTCACTGTCGGTAAAGTGTGAGTGAGGGTGAGAGTATCTGTCTCATCGGGTTGTTGGAGAATGCACAGGACGCTGTGCAGAGAGTGTGTAAAACTGTGCTTGGTGCATGGTAGGTCTGCAGAGGTGCTGCGTCCTTCAGCCTTTTGTTGTTGATACTACCCTAGACATTCCTTTCCATGGCCCCACTCTTGCTCAGTCTGCGGTCCACTTGTGTCTAGTCAGCAGGAGTCCCTAAAGGATGTATCAGCTGAATTGCCTATGGTAAAAGAGCCTTATGATTCCTCTTATGTTTGTGTTGCATTCTTTTACATTTTCTGATTTTGAGGCTGTCTTATCCTACATATTTTTGAATGAAGGCAAATTTGTAAATAATGATAAATGTGTAAAACACAAGGGTACATTTTCATAGATAAATGAAAGTATAAATGTCAGGATGCTAAAAGATTATGGTAATATTATAGAGAAGAGGAGGCAGCCGAGTTTGTGGACTGTGTTGTAGAGAGTGAGATCCAGAGTCCACCTGGCATCTCCTGTGGCTGCGTCCCCCAACACCCTTGACCTCCCTGCCAACCTCTCTCCTATGGCCCCTTCACTTTCCTGTCGCACTTCGGACCTTTTGTTTCCATGTTACTACTTGTCTCTCTCGCTGCTCCTATAATATCTTTCTCATCCTCCCATTTTCTTTTCTTATTCAGAAGTTCACCTTAAATGCCACCTGTTCCGTCAAGCCTGCCAGGACAGTTCCAGCCTGACATACTGCCTCTATCCCTAAATATTCTTTGTCAGTACTACTTATTTGGCCCTGTCGTTTTCTATATTGCGCTGAAACTGGTTGCAGTGTTATTTCATGGTGCTGTAGTGATTCTGTTAATTCCTACATGGACATGTCTTTAAATTGTATTTCATTTGCTGACTTTGTTTTGAGCTGTTTTGTCATTTGTCTCATTTATCATTTGTCCAGAGACACATACCTATACTTTTTAGGTGACATTAATATATCTATATGTAATTCTTTAAGGAAAAGATTCATTTGTGAAATTTATGATCTGAATCTCCTTGGATTTGACAGCATACTTTAGCTTGAGGCAGACATTTATCTACAGTTCACTAATGAACATTTTTTTAATGTGTAGATTCATTATTTTCTTTTACTCAAGGTGACATAAAATCATAATCCATGTGTTAAATGCCTTTTTTTCAGTAGTGACAGTCCTGAGGGCCCCAAGGCCCACTTCGGGAGGTCATTCTGGTGAAGAAAGCTGGGTGGCACACAGAACACATCCCTTTAACCTGCTGCCTCTTCCTCAAACATTGCTGTTCTGTTTGTGGCTATAACTGTGCGATCATTGTACACACCATTGGACTTGGAGGTGGAAGGCACATGCTTAAAACTTGGTTCCCTCACCTGATGGTTGTTTGAATTTGACTAAGTTTAGTCACCTAAGCTCATCTGCAAAATAAGCTTAATTACCTCTACATTAGAGTTATTTTGGGGATTAATTGAAATGGTTTCTGTGAATGTGTTGGTACCTGGGAGGTTGTCCATAAACGCCTGTTTTAAACAAAAGGAGAAATAGGAATCTCCTCTATTGCCAGTGAGGCTACTGAAGCAGAGTATATTTTGGGGAGAAACAGACAGATGGGTTCAGAGAGGGCACTTGAGGCTGAATGTGGAGTTGGCCTGGTTTCTAGGCTTATCTCTGCCAGATCATCTCTGTTACTGTACTCATCAGCTACTAAACTGCCATTCAACACTCAACTAGAGAGTATGAAGATTAATTAGTTAATCTTTGTAAAGCGCTGTGAAGGTGAAAAGTGCCACGTAAGTGGGATGGTTGAATTGCTATTGGAGATATAATAATGGTGACACCATATTCTGTCTGACTTGGACATCAATAATCAATAACAGAAAGTTTTAAGATGTTTTGCTTGATGTGAAAGACAGGATTCACTGGGAAATTTGTGAGAAGAAAGTCTTGCAGATAATAGCTTTCTATTTCTACCCAGGTAAGGAATATTGGAGATGTTTAAGAAGCTACAGCCTCATTCATTCTCTGGCTTCTTGGATGTCTTCTGCTAGGGTTGTCTGGTGATAAATCTTAGCCAGCTTAGGTGGGAGGACAATTTCCGCTTTCAGTGCTCTGAGGGTTCTGGATGCATGAACTTTTTTTGTTGAGTGTTGAATGGCAGTTTAGTAGCTGATGAGTACAGTAACAGAGGGACTCACAGGAAGGCGAATTTTACCATTTCTGGGCAGAGCTGGAGACTCAAGAAGAGTTTCAGAGAGCTTGTCGCATGTGAGCTGGGCTCTAGGAGGTGAGCCATAGTTTACCAGGTGGGAAAGGACATTTGTAGTGAAAGGAGCAGCGTCTGCTGCTGTGGGAAGGAGCGCATTTAATGGACCCACTCCCACTTCCCCTGCCATACTGCGGGCTGCACAGCTTTGTTCCCTCTTTGAGGAAGCCCTGGGGTCAGATGCTTGGTGTTTACCTCAGTGTCTGCACGCAGGTCGAGCTTGCGAATTGCATCCGTGTCCAGCCCTAGCTTCTTGTGGCTTTCTGACTTTACTCCTATGAGCCTGACCCTCCAAGCCATGTGTCAAATGTGGGGTCAGATGAAGCTTTGATACCAAACACAGAGTATGGAGTAGATTTGTCTAGAGTTTAATATGCATTACTTGATGTTTTGTCTTTTAAGCAAAGTTTTTCTTTGTTAAAATAAACATGTATAAAGAATTTATACAGCGCACATGGTTATGCATATTTATTGCAGAGAATCTGTTAATAATCTCTGCCTCATCAGATTTAGCATTTCTGTTGAGACAACAAATACAGCACTTGGTATAACTGATTGAGTTTGGTGAATTTTCTCTTATCTGGAGAAGAAAGGCCAGGTCTCCTTTTTCAAACTTTATTTTCTTCTGTGATCTTCACACTGGTTGGCTTCCCATGTGGAGCTGGGGTGCCAGCTGCTTTTCTGACTCCAAGTGATTTTGTCTTTCTTTTTTCTTCCTTCTCTCACTGCCTTTCTTCTAGTACACATTGATGCTCGCCTTGGGACTATTAGAATTGCTCCTTTGGGTAAGAGTCCAGGCTATGAGAGGTCCTCTTGTGTTATGAAGAGGGAAAAGCAGGAAACCGGTTGTTAATTAAGAATAAGGGCCTAAAAGACTGAAGTATGGAGAACTTCAGTGAGAGTAAAGGGGCCTTGGGTGGGGCGCGAGGGAGGAGAGCCTGAGAACAGGTATCCAGATAGCACAGGGAGGTGTGAGGGTGGCCAGAGGTGTGATTGAAATTTTTCTTTAGTAATAACCATATATCTGACTGAGTATAAGGCAAGGGCGTGGGCTTTAGAATCAACCTGTTTGACTCCTGCTCTGGTACTTAACACTTATTTGATCTAGCAAATTGTTTAATCTCTCTGAACCTCAGTTCCAAACCTGTAATAATGTGCCCTACCCCACTGCCCTTTATAAGAACATGGGAAGGCTCTCGGTACAGCGCAGTTAGTGCTAAAGCAAATGCTTACATTTTCTCTAGTAATTCATTGCCTACCCATGAGAGTACTGCTGTGAAATGAAGCCTTAATTCAAATAATGTTTATTTTTAGAAACTGGCAAGGTATTTACTTGGGGCCGAGCAGACTACGGACAACTAGGGAGGAAGCTGGAGACTCAAGAAGACTGGAAGGTAGAAAAGCAGGATTTGTCCTGCTGCTGCTCAAAACGAAAGAACAGCGCACCCTCGCCTCTGCCTTGCCTGATGGGAGCCGTGGAGGTAGGAGGTGACTTCTCGCATTAGCAGGGTGTCTCTTTCCCTTGTGTTCCCGTGACGTGTTCAGTAAGGGTTGCTGTGTGCCAGGCCTCATGATTGGTTCCATGCAGGAATCCGAAAGGGTCTTTGTCCCTAAGGAGCTCATGGTTTAATGTGGTAGAAAAATCATTTCTCCAGTTACTTGAGTGACTATACCAGAAAGCAGACTGTGTGGAACTTCTTTAGGGTGCAGTGTTCTGGGTCTAGTGGGAGGAATGAGATAGGAATTCAGGGTGCATGGGTTGGACTGGGCTTTGAGAATGACATGGCTCTGAGCTGTGCTTCAGAGGATGAGTCAGACTAGAGCAAGCAGTTGTGGGAGCTCAGGTGGCTTTTAGGTGGTTGAACAGCTTGAACAGTCACGGGGATAGGAATGTGAAGATGTTTCGAGGACCACTGATGGCTGACTTTGGAGCATGGGCAATTTTGAGATAATATTAGAAAGATGGGTTGGGATGAGATCAAGAGAGCCTTTAGTGCTGAGCTAAATGTTTTAAACTTCTGTTTATATTTCCCAGGGCAGGAAATATTGTAGTTCTATTGCTTATTGAAGCCTCTCTGGTTCTGGTTCTCTGAATTGACTTGAAGTTTTGCATTAAAGGCAGGAGTCTTAATTTCTTTATTTGTGTTGCTCTTACTAAATTTTACTGCTGTTTTTAAAAAGAAAAGGTCAGGTTTTTGAGAAGAATGGCCACACAGGAAATGTGCCTCTGAACCTCAGTGAAGGAATTTGGCCTTCCTTCAGAGTGTATAAAAAAATTAATAAGCTAGTAAAACTTCTATAATTAGCATCACACTAATTACAACCCCGTCCATACCTGGAGGGCTTCCCTCTCTATACCTGGAGGGCTTTCCTTCCTCAGGGGCCTACCTGAGGTATGTAGGTTGGTTCTCATTTCTGCCTTGCATCTCAGCTCTGGTCCTCTGGGCCCTTTCTTAGTGCTTGGTTGGGTCTTTTTTTTTGTTTGTTTTTTCTCTTTCCTTTTGATTGGACAGTTACTAAATAATTCGACAAAGACCATTTGTACATGATGATAATTAATACACCCATTGTAGTCTTAACCATCCTAACATAACTAAATTCTTTCTGCATATGTACATGTACATACTTCTACAAGATAGTAGTAATAGCATTTATGATGTTTTGTACTCAGTCTACATTTATTTTATCACAAATATTTTGCTGTGTTTCCTCTTGGTCTTTAAAATGATCATTTGAAGTGATATGTAATAATATATGATTAGAATGTTCCGGGATTTTCTGAATCATCCTTTGGATGTTTGGCATTTAGATCATTTCTTTTTTTTTTTTCTTTTTAAATTTTTTAATCACAGTGTGAATTCTGCAGTGAATCCCTGTTGACCTGTTTTCTTAAGATCTTGGGGGTGGAGATACATGGGTAAAGGCTATGAACATCTTAATGACTTTTCCTGTATTTATCTAGATTCTGACTCTGCCAGCAGTGAATGGGAGAACAGATATTTAAACTGATATTTAGCTGTGACCTAAGAGACCAAGGACTTGGCATATAATGCCTTAGATCAGTGATGGTGAACCTTTTAGAGCTTTTAATGATACAAACAGCCCTCTGCAGTACACGTGCCATAGATTCACCACCATTGCCTTAGACCCTTTAGCTTTCTTTTACCTGTTCTAGATCATTTGAGATATTGGAGTTGGGTAACATAGTAACAGAGACACAGGGATTTCATAGATTTTTCTGTCTCTGGATCTATTGGCAAGAGGAGGATAACAATTCCTAAGGTATACTCTGTAAAATCATACATTAGGTAGTGATGAGGATAACATGCTCAGTTTTTGGCATGCAGTAGGCAATTTTTCCATCATCTTTGTCCCCTTCAAAGCCTTTTCATGCCCTGTGGTAGACATTTACAGCAGGGTGGCATACATGGCCAGTGCACACATGTAGCCTAACAGCCAAATGGGTGTGACCTTTATGTGTCTTCTTAGGGGGACGCTGTGAGGCATGGTTTTGAGACCAGAGCCCCTTGTGGCTTCATTTTAGTGCTCTCCTTCTCTGCTCCCGTCTGTTGGGTACCATGGGTATGCTCTGTTCTCCTTGCAGGTTCAGATTTTGGGCTGTTGCCGACTAGTAAGTTGACTAGGAATTATGTCCAGCTTCCATCTCTGCATCTGGCCTATTAGGTCTCTATTTGACTGAGACCCAGAGAGAGCCAGCCAGTGGGCAGCTTCTGGGAGTGGATTCATCTTGGAAAAGATGGGAACCGTACTAAGCTAGGTGTTACCCTGGTGAGAGGTTGGTGCAGGGACACTGGGGAGATATGGATAGCGCTTCAGACTAAACTGACAATTCTGAACTTCAGTGTCCTGTGTGGTATCTAGCTAACTAATTTCCTTAATATCCATGAATTGCTTTTAGTATCTAAGAGATAAGCAGGGAGAGGAGTAAGCTGTCTGGGCTGGGGTCTCAAATAGGGTGTCTGCACAGACGGGTCCAGGAAGAAAGGAAAACACAGATAGATCGAGCAGAACTGTGATGAAACCTTCCCTTTCCAGGAATGAAAGAAAGCAAATACGAAGTTACCTTGTGCTTATTATGGGCCAGGCAGTGTGCTAAATGCTTAATAGATATCTTCAAGATATACCTGTTCCCATGTGTTAAGATCACCCTTTTATGAATTAGGACAATGTAAGACTTATAATGAATAACTCAGCAGGCTCTGGATCAAATGGTAGGTGGGGATTTGAAGTACTTGAAGACATCACCTATAGAGAAACTATGTGAGTGTGAAATTTGTGTGTCTCGCACACTGTCAGCTTTACCTTAGATACTGATCTCTTTAGCCCCTTCTGGAAAATTCCAGGGATAGCACACTGATTCATATTTATCCACCTAGGTACATGTCAGTACAGGATATATGTGAACAGGTTTTTGCTGCTGAATAGCAAATATATATGATGGTGGCCTTTTGCTTTCTAAGTCTGAGGTGGGCTGCTACCTGTACATTTTCTGGTGGACATTTGCTCGGTCTTCTACCCAGCGGTAGAAGCCTGCATTGCACACTTAGGCAGAGTGCATGTGCTTAGTGGTTGTGTTGGAGGGTCTCTGAGATGCTGAAGCAGCTGGCGTTGGGTGTCTGGTGTGTTAGTGGAATGATCAGGAGACCTGTTGAGAGGAGGCCTCTGAGAGGATAAGGTTTAGACTGGGAGTTAGAAGACTTGTGTTCTAGCATTGATTCTTCCCTGAGTGAATTTAGATAAGCTCCCTTCCCTGCTTGGTTCTTGCTTTCCTCATATGTAGAATCAGATGACTTAATATTTTTTATAAATAAAAATTTTTTCATCTCTAATTATTCTTATTGGAAGTAATCACTATGTAAATTTGTAATGACTTTGACCTGTGAAGTTTCTCAATTTGTTTTCTTTTAATAGTAATACTAAATATCAGTAATAATCATTGATGGGTCTAGGAATTGAACCTGGGCCTTTCATACTAAGGTGCTTCACCACCCCTTCTTTATTTTTAGCTTTTGAGACAGGATTTCATTAAGTGGCTAAGTTGCTCAGACTGTGCTCAAACTTGAGATCCTTCTGCCTCAGACTGTCAGGGTGCTGAGATTACACTGTATGCCCCCATGCCTGGTATTTTCTCAATTTAGTCAAGGTTAACATCTGCTGTAGGCCAATATTAGCTGCACAATGGTGGTAGGTGGGAAGGTGGATACAAAGATTAAAAACCCAAAGATGAAAAATTTTAACCTCAAAGAACTTGCAACTATATAAGTAAATAAGATACTATACAAAGTGGGAAGTGTTATAAGTCTGAAAAGAGATAGGTACAAAAGGCCCAGGTAACAGTGAAGATGGACGGACAAATTCTGAAGACACTAACAAAAAAGAAGTGGTGTTTGAACTGAATTCTTAGGAATGAGTAGGAGGTAGAAAGACATTCCATGCTGAGGGGCAGTATGATTTGAAACCATGTTTCTAGATCTGCTTTTAGCTCCTGCTGCAATTAGGATGTACATGCTTTCCAGCCCTTGAGCATTCTTTTGCTGTGTGGCTGCCCTGCATCACCTGTCCCATCAAATAGTGTGGGAGCAAAGGAAAGTAACTTTCTCCTAGGTTGTCTCATTCCATACCAGCATGGTGCTGTGAAATTGGTCAGAAGAGGAATGATTATCTCCATTTTATAATCGAGGAAACTGATGTTGAGAGAGGCCAGCTAGAAATTCAGAGAAGCTCCAAGTCATTCTAAATGTCAGTGTTTCTGAGGGCCTGCACCACGCTGTCTGCAGCCACAGTCCTGAGTCATGTTCTGGTTTAAATTCTGTCTACGTTTGGTTGAGGAACACCAAATCCCAGTGTGTATGTGCACGTGCTCGTGTGTGTGCATGCACTCACTGTCATTGGAGCTGGAGTAGCAAACATGGAAACAGACAAGAGCTGAACCAGAGGTTGGGTAGTTGTCAAGCCCAGATGCTGTCAGCCCTCATTTTGTTGCAGGACTGAAACTGTTAGAGGATCAACCTGTGCGCAGGGTCTAAGTGAAATCTGTCAGAATGAGTGGGAAAGAGGCTATTTTTAGTTTGCAGAGTCACTCACTCGGCTGAGTTAGCTGAGGTTTGAGCCAGTCCCCTACGCTTTCCACAGTGTTATTTCTGAAGGAGAAATACCACTTGAATGCTGTGTAAAACTCATTAATGAACCTGGAAGTTTCCAGGGTGTCTTTGTCCTGCAGCTCCCTCAGAAGGCTGCCTTTCCTCAATGACCTTCCTTCTTTCCTATATTTAATGCATTTCTAATTTTAAGTTTGTGTCAAGACTGTGGGACTTCAGTGCCCTAAATAACACAGAAATCTACCACCAGCAGTCAGCTGAGTCCAGAGAGCTCTGACAGAACCGAACATAACCTGAAAAAGCATTCCCAAGTGGCTTTCTGATAAGTACCTCGGAGCATCATTGCCATTCCTAGAGAAGCC